CCTCCCTCCCCTCCCTCCCCTCCCACCGACGTTTCCCTCCGTCCCTTCCTCCGGCCTCGGACCATCCAACCGGGGCCCGCACGGAACAATGGGCCCCCCGATCCCTCTCCATGAAAGAAGCGTTGCTGCTCCTCCGGTCGGCGGGGGAATGTCTGCCAGTCCCCACGGAAGGCATTGGGGAGGTCGTCCGCCTCCTCCTCCGGGCGGAGGCATGGGCCCGTCAGGCGTGTCGCCGCCTTGGACTGCACGTGGACGGAAAGGGGGGGAAGGACGTGGGGGAGGAGAGGGAGAAAAGGAAGGGAGGGACCGTGGGGGAGGTGTCTCGTTTGGTGAAGAAACTACAAGCCGCGTACGAAGGGCGGGAGGGCTTGACCGAGGACGGGGGCGAGGAAGAGATGGAGTTCCGATACTTGGACGCGCTGGAAGGAGGACTCGCAGACATGGTGGAAATGATCATGTCCAGGGAAGAGAGCCAGCAGGGTCCACGCCGGGGCGGGGAGGGAGGGAAGGAAGTCGGGGGCCAGGGGGCGCGGGCACGCGGGGCGAACGGGGTGGGCTCCGAGGCCCCTTTAGGGGACAAGGGAAAGGGGATGGACACAGAGCGGGAGGAGGTGGAGCTGGCGGGCGGATTAGAAAGGATGGGGGAGCCCGAGTCAACGGAGGCCCTGCCTGGCACTGGCGGTGGGCCGAAGGGCCGGGAGGGTCGCCGAGGAAAAGGGACGCGTTATGCCCTGCTGGTCAGCAGTACGCAGCGTGCAGCCCGATCGACCCAGAAAACGAAAGATGGGCTGCAGGAGAAGCATGGCGTGTTGGCCGAAGCCCGAGCACGGGCTGTTGCGGCGTCTGGCTCCACCAGCCCCTCCTCGTCGGCTTCTGAAGAACCCCTCCGCTGTTTCTGTCGGCTCCCGGAAACGGAAAGCAAAATGCGGACGCTGGTAAACTGTGACCGCTGCCAAGAATGGTACCATCCCCACTGCGCGAATTTCCCGGTCAAGGCGTTGAAAGACATGAAATCCGGGTACCTTTGCCCGGGGTGTCGGCACGAGGACGGCCTTCCCTCCGAGCTGGCTTGCCCTCCCTTGCAGGGAGGACGGGGGGGAGGTAAAGGTGAGGGTGGGAAAAGAAAAGCGACCTTGAAGGATGTTGAGGAAACTTTGGCTCAGGCGGACAAGCTGGCCGTCTACCACTTCGACGCCTTGCCTTTCTTGAAATTTGTGAGCGAGGCGGCCGGAAAGTGGAGAGACCGAGCGCGTCGGGCATTAGGCTTGCTGACAGCAGAGAAAGAGAAGAACGCGGAAGCGGCCAGGGAGGAGGAGGAGAGGTCGGAAGGAGATGCGTCACTGCAGGAGTTGGCGAGGGCGTTCCACGGAAGGCGCAGGGAACGGAGTTATGAAGAGCGCCTGAGGATAGAGGCCAGGGTGTTGCGGTGCGTGGCCGGCTTACTCTCGGAAGCCCGCGTCCTGGAGTTGAGCGTGGACGAGGACTTGACTCGGCAGCTGAAGACGTTCTTGTGGCGTTTGATCGCCCCGCTTTGCTTGCCTCAGGGTCGGCGGCGGGACGAGTGCGCGGGTACAGAGGGGGCCTTCGACGGGGCAGACCAAGCTTCCCAGCGGCGGTCACGCGTCCCGGTGGGTCTCCTCGGTGGAGTGGTCGAGGAAGGGGAGCGGCTGGGCCTGATCCACACACCGGTGCTGCAGCGTCTGAGGCGTGTGAGGGACGAGGTGATGGTCTGGTTGTACACTGCTGCAACGCTTCCTTTCGCCGGCCTCCTGCCCATGTCCGCCTCTGCTACCCTCCGAGCTGCGACAAGCACGGCAGGGTCCGGTCCTCTAGGCACAGAAGCCTCCGTCGGGGCGGGGACAGAGCTGTGCTTGGACATCGGAAAGGCACCGCCTGCCCACGCGTTCATTGACCTGCAGGCCGAGTGGGGCTACGCACGCGCCCAGGCCGCGGCGCTACGGTGGATCCAGGCTGGGAAAGAGGGGGGGGAGAACCATGGGGGAAGGGAGCTCGAATGGATGGGCGCCGTCGGGACGGAGGCGGATCAGTTTTGCCTGTGTCGTGGCCCGGAGCGCGGGCGTATGGTGGAATGTGAGGGATGCCAGGCGTGGTTTCATTTCGAGTGTGTGGGGTATCAACCGAGGCTGCGAGGGACCAAAAACGTGACAAGGGAAGGAAATGACGGGGGAAAAGGGAAGGGAGAGAACGCACAAAAGCCCCTCCAAGGGCACAAAAACTCGAGGTCTAAACCGATGAAAATGGGAAAGGGGAAGAGAGGAATGGGTAAGAAAGGAGATGGTGGCCGGGGCAAGACCCGGAAGAGGGAGGCGGAAGGTGAAGAGGAGGGCTTTAAATGCATCGGGTGCAGCGAGGTGGAAGGCGTCCCTTATAGACATCAGTGGGAGACGCCCTTCATGCGACAATACGTCGAGCTGCGAGGCAATCAAGGGGCCTGGTGGTCGGGGGGCAGATCAGGCCAAGAGGAATTCGACGCTCCTGTTACTAGCGTCGAGGTTAGCAATATCACGGAGGAGAGCTCGAGTGGGAGGATGAGTACGAGCGAAGTGAAGCGCCAGAAGGAAGACGTGGAGGCGAACACGGAGCGATGCCCAGGCCGCATATCATCGTCTCGCGCACAGCCTTCGCACCATTTCCAGGATCAAGGCACATTTTTAAGCGAACCTGCGCGTGTCTTTGACCAGCATCACTATGCAAAGCCCCCAACTCCCTCGCCTTTCCCCTACACTCTTTTGCCGTCGACTCTTGCAGACTCATTGCTGCAGCCACGACTTCCACATTCCATGGAGCTGCCCACAAAATCAACCGTGCATCTGCTTGCTCAACTGGAAAGAACAAAATCTGTGCGGGAGACGGATCCTTCAGCCCCTGCATCGTCTAGCTTTCAAGCTCCTGTGATGGATATGTAGCCACCAAAGCAAACGCTCGTGCGCTTGGAGGAACGCATCCAAGCCTAGCAACAGGAATGGCGGCCGCAAAACTTGGCCCGAGTTATTTAAACAGGACCTCGCGATCCTCTTAAGGTTTTCCCCTGATATCCTCTCTATCTTAAGACCAGCAGATGCGCTAACGGAGGGCAAATAAAGCCTTGACATCGGACAGTATGAAAAAAACGTGGAAACCCTTACCCAAAAACCTTGTCAGGCCTCGAATTGAATTTTCGCCGGCACGTGGAAAGTGAGCAAAAAGCATGCGAGAAGAAAACTTGCTGGAAAAGATATACCCTAAATATGATACATATATACTTTTGTACCCGAAAGAAATCGAATTATAGATGGGCAAAGGAAGACATCGAGTGGTTTTGTCTGGGCGTTGCAGTCACCGTTCGCGGGACAAGCATGTCCTTAGGATTACATTCTCGTGTTGTCCTCAGCGGCATGTTGGTCAATGAACCTCAGTTTGTAATAATGTCTAGTTACTTTGGGTTTGTTGTTGGTTCTCTTTCAAGTATGCATACCATTTCATTACGCAAAATACTGAAGCCACAGATATGTATATTTCGAGGAAAAGGTCGGCTCTCCCACTAAACCGGTCGATGTTTCCTCTTCCACAACACTCTCCACGGGCACGTGACGCGCCTTATGCCGATGTCGATGAGTCGTCTCTGTCCTGTCCCTCGCCAGCATCCCTTGATGCCAAGAACTCCTCCAGTGAGCTTGTAGAAATGTCATTTTCGCTGTTGCTACCTCCTCCTCCCTCGGCCTCCCCCATAATTTCGCTGGCTTCGGCAGGATACAGCTCGCTCAGGCGCTGCTGCGGTTGCTGTCGAGCTTCAAGGTCCTGCCTCGGCTGCCTTTCATACTCCCGCAGGGTGGGCATCTGGGACTGCTGTTGTTGAAACTGGCGATAAGGAGAAACGTCCGTAAGCGGATCCCACCTCCCTTTTTCTCCTTCCCTGAACCCCCTTCCTTCCCCCCCTCCTCCTGTCGCTTCTTTTTGGACAGGAGACAAGGAGTAGAGGGAGGAATGATCCTCCTGGGCTTCTTCGCGCGTGGAGAAAGGGCGTCGGCCCGTGTCCTCCCCGCCTTCGTTCCTCTGGCTCGTCACGGGCGAGTCCTCGGCGGAGAGGGAAGTTCCGAATCCTTCATCGCCGGTCCCCGTCCTTTCGTGCTTTCTCTTTCCCTCCATCGCCTCGGGAGCGGC